AATTTCCGCACTCGCCTCTTCAACGCGACGGACTCTTTCTGGGCCTATCAAACACTGGGCGGCTCGGAATCGTCTGAGTAGCGCGTTGTAAGTGTCAACATCAAGCTCACGATATCCGAAAACCAGTGTCCGCAAACCCGACAGCGCGAAATCTGTCACTTTCTTCATGATGTCGTCCTTCGCATTCGACGACGTTTTTTCGCATCTCTGTCAAGTAAGAAAGTGTCAAAGTGATTACGACACAATTTGAGCTAAATGATAGAAGTGGCGAAACAAAACGCACTCTTGGGTCCAGCATTGAAACTTCAGCGCCCTTGGTGTAGACAAAGCACCTGCCATCTTCCTCCCTAGCCATCACCGACATTCTCTTGCGAACGGAGTTAAACTCGAGGACAGCGTCGACCCGGTAGCGTCGAGTCTTCAATTTCCTACCTTTTTTCCGAGCGTTTAAGGCATTCTGGTCAAAGCGTATCATATGAATATTGAATTCTTCGTCGCCTTTTACCACTGTGTCGTCAATACCAATATAAGTGAACCCAACACGTGTGGCGGCATCTACTAATGCCATTTCGTCTGGTGATGCTGCCTACAATTGAAAATTACAATTACCTAAACAGACAACAAATTGAAAAGCGTCGGTTCAAAAGCAAACCTACATTGTACTTAATCACTTCTTTTCCAGATATCGCATCAGTAGAAACTTTCGCCTCTATTGTATGGCAGAGCGCCACATTAGTCCAAAATCGCTCGGCTTCATTGGAGAGATCGGTGACTTTGTACTTGAAACTGGAGTCGCTGCCTTTCATGTTCAACACATCTTCTGTGTTTTCTTCCTCAGAGGACGACGAGAAATAGTCAGCAGCTTTTTTTGAAGGTGAGGTTGGCGATTCCGATTGCTTTACTTCAGACACTGTCGACAGTTTTTTGGCATTTCTCACCATGTACAAGCCGTCTTCCTCCAAGTCATAAACACTGTCTTCGTTGACGAGGCCATAGCATTTGAACACCATTTTGTTTTGAGTTAGTGTTCCAGTTTTGTCGCTGAAGAGGAATTCTATTTGTCCCAGCTCATCAGCCAGGTTCGTAGCATTCACTTGTGCTTTCTCATTTGTCACAGGATCATAAAATTCGATGTCTTTTGAGATGAAAATTGCCAAAACCAACTGTATTAATTCCATGGTTACCATAATTGAGATAGGAATCAAGTAATTAATAATGAAAAGCAAAGTCAAGAATTCTTGAACTTTTGTCCAGTTAGTTACAGGGGGAAATACAAAATACCAAGGTGATCCAAATGGCATGCCTCTCCAGGCGAATTGCAGGAGAGTTACTGTTAGCGTTACCGAAAACATGCCTACCAGAAAGCAGAGCAGTCTTCCGTTAAGTCGTCTTGCTGTTGAAGAAAACTTTCTATAACCAGGCTTCCCATTTAAAGACAGCTTAGTTTCCCCTCCAGTGTACACTGCAGCACCAA